CTGCTGTCTCTCCTGCTCCGCCCGCACCCGCCCCGCCCCTCCCCACCGCGAGCTGCACCGAAACCTCGCGCAGAACCTATCTTCCCCTGCTCCATGTAAGTCGATCTGGTGCCTTCCCTTCCCGCTCGCACGGGGTGGCGGGTCCTCGCGAAGCGCACGCGTGGGTTTGGTGCCGTCGTGTGGCCCAGTGACCCCTCGGCCCGCCCTCGGAACGCACCCGAGCGGGAGGGAAGAACTGGAAGATGCATCGGGCGGGGTGCGGCGGGGCGGGGCAGGGCGGGGCGGGCGGGCGACCTGTTGCTTGGGGGCGCGCTACGCCACGCCGTGCTGGCTCATTTGTCACGCTGACAGCGCCACGCCGCGCCACACGCCTCCGATTTTATGAGCGGATTGGTTCGGCGCAGCCCCGCCCTCGAGCAAGAGGGCAGTAGGGGCGGCCCGGGGGCGGCCCGGGGGCGGCCGGGGGGTGGCGCAGGGCCTCCTCAGCCATGCAGTCGGCCTGGCCACCATTAATTAGTTGGTGCGGGTCCTCGGGCGGGGCGGAGTGCGGGGCGGGGCCACCACTCCCCAGGACACGACACGGACCACGGCCCCCCCCCGGCCCCGAAGCCTTGTTCATGGGGACCGAGCAGCATCGGAAACATCTTGCCTGGAAATCCAGTCGACAAAGCGGTTTTGTTATCAAGTATACAGTATATACCCCCGTTTTGTAACAGGAGCAACAACAACAGCATCGACATTACAGGGATCGTGAAAAAATTCTCACTTCTCCCTTCGATGGCTTCCTTTGCGCGAAGCGCTTCTTTGTAGACGTCGCTCCCTCCCGCCCAACTCTCCTTTGAAGGCTCGCCTCTCCTCCGCCTCTTCAGGCGCCCTGTGTTTACTAACGTGCTTCTAAGTCTCTTTCCCACGCAAACCCCCTCCCCCCCACCATTCCTTCGCCCTTTTCTTCCACCACCTCCCTACCGCCGCCACCCCAGACAAACCCGACCTCTTTTCTACTCTCTTTGCGATTGCCGAGTTATCGCCACTCGAAGTGTTCCACCTCAAACACCTAAATGGCAAGTAAGCAAAAAGCCCCCCCCCCTCCCTTTCCCCTCGCCCGGCTGCTTTTCTTTTTTTCCCCGCGAGAAGTGTGTGGGGTGGGGGTACGTTCAGTTGTGTCGCCGCCCGGGCGCCACGGCCTGACTTGCACCTCTACTCCTGACGGCGCCCAGCAGGCGCCCAGATTTCCCGCTGGGTTTGAGTGAGGGCTGAGGGCGCCTGAGGGCCGTACGCGGTCTCGCTTACACTCTCCTCCTCTCCTCTGGGTTTGTTCATTAATGCAGCCGAACTCTTTATTTTCACGGTCGGACCGCCACCCTCCCCTTCCCCCTCTCTACTCCCGGCGCTGCGCTGCTGCTGCTACCCCCTGAGGAAGCCCCGAGGAGTGTTTGTGTTTGTCAAACTCGAGTTCCACTGGAAGCAGTGTTATAATTACTGAACTTTTTGTTTGCAGGAGGCAGGACTGGCTGGCCGGCAGGACTGACAAGACGAACGGAACCAGGGTGAGTGAAAGCATTTCTGAGTAACTTTGCCCCCCCGGCGTCCGCGGCGCCCCGCCACGCCACGCCACGCTGCCCGGGAGGAGAGTGAAGGGTTTCCCCTTTTCATTATCCCAACTCATTTTTCTAAAGGCGTGTAATCAGATCACGATTCCATTTTCATTCCGCTCTTTTGGCTCACCCAGTTTGCGGACGCACACTTCTGCGCTGTCGCCCTTAGACCGCCGAGGGGTGGGTTTGGTTTATCGTGGTTCTAACGAGATCTCAGCGTCACTACGAAAGCCGATTTCGAAGTTCCTGCTGCCTATAGACCATACCACCTCCCACCGTCAATGTGGTTCCACGTCTTCTCGGTGAACTTCACACGAGAGGAACGTGTGAAGTCCCCTCAAAACGAGTGGTCGACTTTTCAGAATTTTGGTGTACATGGAATATTTGTGGAATATCTGGGACATTTTTCAGTATGTACGTGGAATATCCAAATGTCCCATATCCCCTCGCCTCAAAACGATTAGTAGTTTTATACAGTAACCTAACCCCGAAAATGTATGAAGCAAAGTTGTTCATTGAAAAAAAAAAAAAAAAAAAAATGTTGTTCCTCAAAATTTTGGATCCGAAAAATGCCGTGTCGTCGTAAATGAAGTGGTATGCGTCGCGACCGTGGGGACGACAGCATGTTTCATTCATATCAGGCGACCGCCGCATATTTAGCAGCAGCGGCAGCGGCATCCCTCTCTTCTGCGGCCAGATAAAATTTGGCCGTGCGGTCGGTCCCGGGTATTTGAATGCGAATTGGGCCACGCGCGCTGCTGCCGCCGCCGCCGCTGCTGTGGTTTTTGGTCCGTCTGTGAAATGGTCAATTGGACGCGGCCGCGCGGCCGGGGCCCATCAGCTAAGCAGATGATGTCATTTGGCGGGCAGGATTGCAAAGTGCGGTTTTTTGAAATGTCGTGCGCTTTTGCCTTGCTCACGCTCACCTCCATTTCCGGCTGCCATGCTACTGCTGCTGCTGCTGCTGTGAATTATCGGGAGTGCGCGCCACGCAGCGTTGGCTAGAGTTCACGGCAAACAAAATCTCCAATGCAAATGAATGCCCCTCCTGGACTTGACTGGAGCCGGGGGTCCGGTGGGATACCCAGGGGTGACGAAGGACGCCATCAAAAGGTAGTACTGCCGCCGCCGCTGCTTCTCTGCTTCTAAAACGAGGCAAAATTTCTGTTCGGCTTTCCCTACCCATTTTTGAAAAAGTTTGTTTTAGTGGCTAGCGAAATTAATGTATAAATTCCCCTGCAATTTTTGTTATTCAAAGCTGCTCTGCTTTTGCGTGTCTGTCTTTCCTCTTCCTGCGCAGTTTAGTTTGCCCATTCCTTTGCGTCGGCCGCCGCGGGCCGCGCGGGGGGTTGCTGCTGCGCCTCGCTCTTCATTGCGAAATTACTCGGGTGTTGCTGCCGCGCTTTTCATATTCGCGGAGCCCCCCCGGACCCTTTTGTCTTGCGCCGGACTGTACCTCATTGCGCGCCGTGCATAAACTGCGGGCAGACTATACGGTCTAAACTAAGCAGGGTGAGCAGCATGGCGTTGGCGGTGGGAGAGTGGGGTAGGGGGGTCAATGTAGGGTTGGAGACGCGGGGGAGTGTGCACACTCTCATCCTGTTACTGATTTTTTTCAGCTTTTGTCAGTATTCCTGCTGCGCAAAAACCTTTATAAGCGACTGACAACTGCTTTCATCAGTAATACGAAATAATTTATTTTTTAATTACTGACAATTTT